AACCAGCGCTCAAAAAAAAATCCGTCCGTTTCCGGACGAAATCTGCCCGTTTCCGGGCGAACCACCCGGCCAGTACCGGGAATAGGGACCCGCATCCAGCGGTCCGACGCCGAGCAGCGACGTCGGAACTTGGTGCTCTTGGAGGCACCTCCGCCTCCCCCGGGCAGACGCCGACCTATCCCGGTGAACACCCGGCATCGACGACCACCGGTCCTCTCCGACTCCCCGGCCTCCACCGTCGCCGGCGTCACCAGGCCCACGACGACACCGGCCAGCGCACGCCAGCCCGCTCGACCATCCGCGAACCGATCGGTTCCCTCAACCGGCACCCGCCGACACACGCCATCCGCTGTCGCACCGCCAGCCACCACGCGCCAGTCAGCGACGCCTGACGAAGCGGACCAGCCAGCGCATCGCGCCAACACAGGCCAACAGGTGCGATCCCTTGTCGCGCCACCAGCCAGGGAGCCACCCCAACCGGCACCACGCCGACCTCCAACCGGCCAGGCCCCACCAGTGCCAGCACCACGCCCGGGACCGCCACGACCCATCCAGGTCACTCTGGGGGATGGCCAAACCGTCGACATACCGTACCACGCCGCCACCATCTCACGGCGGTATAAGGTACGCACCCCGACGGGCCGGTGGATCATCAGATTCGACCGACGAGGAAGACCGCGAACGATCCGTCGAATAGCCACCCCCCCCTAGAAAAGGAGGGTGATGTGACGACCCGATTAGCCGTCACTAGTCGCCCGCGCTCGTGTAAACGGCCCCTTTCGGGGCCACCACACGAATACGTTGGGAATCCGCCTTTTCGCCCCCACCCGTCACTCGACCCCCTCCAAGCTAGTCTTAGAGTGGGGTGGCCGACGGGTATAAAGAGCGGCGCAGCCGAGACTTCGACACCAGTCCCGTCCTGGTCCCTCGAGCGTACTCAGGGATCACTCCTCAACTCCCACACTCCAAATCACCCCGGCCGACGAGCGTTCTCGTCGTGCAGGCCGAGCGTTCTCGGTCACCGGGTCCTGTCCGTAACTCACCCCGGCCGACGAGCGTTCTCGTCGTGCAGGCCGAGCGTCCTCGGTCACCGGGTCCTGTCCGTAAATCACCCCGGCCGACGAGCGTTCTCGTTGTGCAGGCCGAGCGTTCTCGGTCACCGGGTCCTGTCCGTAACTCACCCCGGCCGACGAGCGTTCTCGTCGTGCAGGCCGAGCGTTCTCGGTCACCGGGTCCTGTCCGTAACTCACCCCGGCCGACGAGCGTTCTCGTCGTGCAGGCCGAGCGTCCTCGGTCACCGGGTCCTGTCCGTAAATCACCCCGGCCGACGAGCGTTCTCGTCGTGCAGGCCGAGCGTTCTCGGTCACCGGGTCCTGTCCGTAAATCACCCCGGCCGACGAGCGTTCTCGTCGTGCAGGCCGAGCGTCCTCGGTCACCGGGTCCTGTCCGTAAATCACCCCGGCCGACGAGCGTTCTCGTCGTGCAGGCCGAGCGTCCTCGGTCACCGGGTCCTGTCCGTAAATCACCCCGGCCGACGAGCGTTCTCGTCGTGCAGGCCGAGCGTCCTCGGTCACCGGGTCCTACCTGAAAGTCACCGGCGCCCGACGGAGCTCGCCCTTCTCAGGGCGCCCGTACGCGTGTCCGCGTTGGAAACTCTAGCAATAAGTCGTGTCCGCGTCCGTATAATCTGGTCGCGTCTCGTCCGTAATATTTCTATCTGTCAATCCTAGCAATAAGTCGTGTACGCGTCTGTATCATCTGGTCGCGTTTCGTCCGATTATACTGTGCTGTGTATAATGGTTTGAATCACGGGAGAACCACAGGAAGGTGGCCCCGAATAAACTCTACTTTTACCAGAGCAACCGTGTGTCATTGTAAATCTGAGTCTCCCCTCTTCCCGAATCCTGGCACCGACGAGCCGATCCGTGGCGTCGGGAAAGGTGCTTCGTTACAAATTTAATTTATTCTAATTATTTTTGTACGAGAAAAATACTATCATGGGTATACGTTTTATAATGAATTAATATATTTGTGTTCAAAAATTATATTTGACTTTTAATTTTAATTTTTATTTTATTAAAATTAATAATTAACATATATACTTAATTGCGAATTATATGAATGAAAAATACCCTCTTATGGGAATATTTTTCATTCATATGATTCGCAATTAAGTATATATGTTAATTATTTATTTTAATTATGTGTGTAAGAAATTTTGGAACTCTTTGCTAAAATAATTAAAATTAAAAGTCAAATATAATTTTTGAATACTTATATTATTAAGAATATATAATTCGACTCCCGAAATATATTAATTCATTATAAAACGTATACGTAATAGTATTTTTCTTATATAAAAATGATTAGAATAAATTAAATTAATTATTAAAAAACTAAAAATTAATTAAACGACTTAGACTTAGATGATAATAATAATGAAACATTTATTAAAAAAAGATTTAATAACTATAATAGGTCAGGTTAATTTTTATTTATTTATTTATTTATAACATCATAAAATTCTGTCCTTTCCGAAATACGCGAACGCTACAAAAAGATAAAATCTTGTACATGCCGTCGGACGAGTTCATGAGCATGAGACGCTCTTATCTTGGGAACGTATTAATAGTTATTGCATTGACCACTACTACGATATGGCGCTGAAATCAGTGAGAAATGCCGGTCTCTTCTTCATCCAGACCTTTGGCGATCTGTCTATTAATCTGTGTTATTACATCCTGATGAAAAGTGTCAATGGGCACAAGGCCAAAAAATGGACAGTTTTTGAGTTATAAAGTGTCAAAGATTGAAAAAATGGGTTATCTGCTCATGGTAGTCTTAATGTGTACGGTCATGATAGTGTCATGGTAGTGTGTTTTGGTGTGTGTATGTGTGTGTGCGTGCGTGCGTGCGTGCGTGCGTGCGTGCGGATAGGGAATGTGAGATTGTGGGGGAAGGGGTGTGAGAGTGTGGGGGAGGGGGTGAGTGGATAAATATGCAAAATCTCTTGTTTTAAGCAATTGAATTCTGAGTATTTAAATCTTTCATAATGAAATGTATGTAAGCAATTAATTAACCATAATTAAACAATTACCGTCGGCATCATCGTGCGTGCGTGCGTGTGGAGCGAGGAGTATGTGTATGTGTGATTTTACTAAGGATGATTTTATATGCACCTAAGAATTGATATCTTCAAAATATAAAAATAATTATTTTGGTATCATAATATGTGAGACATAAATGGTCGGATTAGTTTGATATATAATATGCGAGTTTGTTAACGTTAATTCAAAACGCTTAAAGATCTCAGATCTGTACGATTCTTGAAAGAGTTTTGAGACATATTCGATTAATCTAATATTTGTGTTGAAGATTTTCTATAAGATCATCTAAAGTTCACATAATTATTTATGTTCTATATGTTTGTAAATATTAATATCGATTTAATTTTTATTTTTAAATTAAATATTGAAGAAATTCATTATAATAACGTTATCAATATTGATAATCTAACTTAAATTCATTTTAAATAATATGGCATTTAGAAACGTTTTACGTTGTTATGTTTGCGATAAACAATTTATTCTTCGGCTAATGACTTGAATAGATGGAGATGGGAACCGACAAATGTGAAATAGCTATTCGGAGACGAGAGGAATTTGATAGACCGCCTCTCGATGTAACGCATCTCACAAGAATATGCACTAATTGTAATCAATCAATTCGTAATAAAATAGCTGCAATCGAAGAAGATTCTACTTGCTTAAGACTAAATGTATTGATGCAAACTAGAAATAGTACTTGTCTGATCTGTAATGCCACTAATGATATACGCAGGATATCAGTCGAATGTAAAGCTAATGTTTTCATTTTACGAAATATTTTCATTTCCGAAAACGTTAAATCATGTAGACGTCATTTAGATGATCAAGGCTTCATTTTCCAACCTTGTTACTTGGTTTACGTTTTGTTAATAGGCTATACGTAATTAAGGGAGAACAACTTGAAATATTCTTACAAGGACTTCGTAATGTGGCAAGAAATCTGACGAGAATTGACGATGAAAATAGTTTGAGTGATGATGAATTTGAATGTTTTTGCTCTATGACAAAACAACAGTTTTGAGAACTATTTACTTATTGTGATAGAGTACCTTGTTAAGATGGTTACAGATATGTGAGTAAAAAGGATCTGTTAATGTTCTTGTACAAAATGCGTCAGGAACTTTCTGATAATTTTCTTAAAGTTATGTTCCAATATTCAAGTAGACAAGCAATAAGTCTGGCTATTGCTACTGTCAGACAATCTTTAAAGCAACGTTTTGTTCCTAACAATATTGGATTCAATGCGATTACAAGAGAAAATTATATCAAAAGACACGTGACGGAGTTTGCTAATGAATTATATAATCCAGAGTCACATATTCCTCGAGTAATCGCATACATTGACGGTACTTACAGCTATATACCAAAAAGTAGTAATTTTCGAGCACTCCGGCAATCATATTGCGTTTACAAGGAATGACATCTAGTTAAACCTGTTTTGATAGTCGCACCTGACGGCTAAATACTCGAAATTCAAGGGCCGTACTTCTCTGATGACCGGAATAATGACGCTGCTATTCTGCAAAATAAATTTGTAAGAGATGCTGAAAGAATGATTAGATGGTTCCAGGAAAATGATATTATTATAGTGGACAGAGGATACCGGGATTCCACTGAGCTACTAACCCGTTTAGGTATTTCATGGCATATGCCGGCACTTCTTGAAGTAAACAAACGTCAACTCTCCACAGAGGATGCGAATGATTCGCGTCTCGTTATAAAGACAAGATGGATAGTAGAAACTAGAAACAGGCATATTAAATCTATTTTCAAATTTTTTTAGCAAATGATACAAATTCAGCATCTTCCAAATCTGGGAGATTTTTATCGGATAGCTGGAGCTATTATAAATAAGTACCATCCCCCATTTTTATGGAAGGAGTTAACGCTGAGATGGCTCAACAATTACTTGAAAAGGCGAAGGAACCAAACGTCATCCAAGCACTAGTTGAGATTGAAAATCTCAGAACCAAGAATGCTCAACAGTGGGTACGTTTAGATGCTGAACAATTGTTCGATTTTCCAATCTTGACACTGGACTTTATAAAAAACCTTACAGTTGGTATATATCAAATTAAATTAGCTTCATCTTATATACAAGACAATTTGCAAAGAGACGAGGGAAATTTCTGATATCCCAACCATAGGATTCAAATTCTTTAGTTTCCAAATTTTCTTTCTTTCATAATTGTCGCAATAACATCGCGTGTGGCTCTATTGGCTGAGAGGAATGGAGTGTAGATTATGTTTTTTTAGTTCACGTCTTGAATATATTTAGATATAATTAATCATCTCTTAATTATCCAGTCGTATTTAATGAAAATTAATGAACTATCCCAGTAAACACGGTATATAAATGTTATAGTATTCAAGCATGTTACATGTAACGTATATGTTAGTTGTAATTTCCCACTCATAGATGTAACATTTTTAATATAACATATATTACATTGTAGTTATATTGTCATTATATCCCAAGATAGCACTAATTTATCAATACATCAATGTGCTATTTGATATATAATTACAATATAACTACAATATAATATATGTTATATTAAAAATGTTACATCTATGAGTGAGAAATTACAACTAACATGGATGTTACATGTAACGTACACGTTATATTACCTGTTACATTCCGTATTATTATAGCAATGTAACAGTTATATATCGGTGTTTGCTGGGATATATTGAACGTTGATCATAAGATCCAAGATTATTGATTTATCTATCGTTATATCTTTTTTCTAATTAAAATTATGATATACGAACTTTCTTTTCTTTAATTTAGTTGATTTTATGTAATATGTTTAACCATGTTTATTAATTTTATGTCTTATTACAATTTTGTCAGAACATTGAGAGGTATGTCTCAATGATTTATAAATTTGTAAATATTTAAAATAATTAATTCACAATAATTCTTGCCCTTCTCGCTTTCCTTTTGTTTAATATATATGTATAAATTCTTCAAATCAGTTTCACTGAATTTATTTCTACCGTGTCTTTACTTTATCAGTATGTTTAAAATAAGATTATTTCATTGCTTCCGTCATATTCTTGCGAAGTCAGCCATTAACCAATTCCAACATGATCGCCAGTTTGCACGTCTCTTACTTGACAGTTTCTATGGAAGATTACACGTTCGCGCGACTCTAGCGATATAAATGATAAATGCAAAATATTAATCAATGTGTGTGAACCTATTAATCAATGTGTGCAAACCTATTAACCAATGTGTAAACCCTATAATCAACGTGTTTGAAATTGAATAATATTATATTATTTATGGAATAGTTAATATGATGAATCGTCGGAATAAATATTTTAATCACACAATGGTGAATGAATTATAAAAATTGATAAATTCTAATGACCGACTATTTGTCACAGAATATTTTATAAAACCTTTATTCTTTCATTTGTAAGCAAACATAAACGATGCGCCTCACTTATAATTATATTTATGGAACCTTATTATCTTAATCACTACCATCAATAATAAAAATTATCTAGATTATTACAATACTTAATATCAGATACTGTTCTCCTTTTTCAATATATTCATATAAATAAAGATTCCATGAATATAACGACATCTCACCATAATTAAGGATGTATTATGTTGTGAAATCATCACTATATAATTTAGCAATCATAATTTTATTTTGAATCATTATATTAAACAACAAATTCAATAACAAACTAAATATAGCAGAAAATTATATAGGAAAAAAACTTATATAAAAAATTATACAGAGAACGATTTCAGAAACGTACAGAAGCTAACAAGCGAACAATAGAAATCACAGCGTGTGGCTACTGTTTGAACTTTCTTTGTCGCGCGAACCGCCCCCGATTTTGCGATAAGCGATCTCGTGCCGTACGCATCTACGACGTTGAATGCTGACACCTGCACGTCGTAAAACTCGATGACCAATGAATCGCGAATACCCCGTAGACTTTTACGACTTATTTGAGCTTATATTTTCTCATTTTATGACCATATTTGGTCAAAAGTCGAGCGCACTCATCGACTTCTCAGAACTGTCAAAACAACCCCCTTCGCTTGTGAGATCAATTTATTATAATATCTTCCTGGAAAGCGTTTTCGTGGGAATCCTCCTACCCAAAAATTGGCTTTCCAGGAAGATATTATAATAAATACACGACACCAAGATTTTTTGTCTTCAAGGGATATATAAACCCTAGAAAATCTAGCCCAACGACGGCATTTTATCATAAAAGTTCGCTACGGTACTTTCATCTAAAATTGTCACTGATGTCGAAGAGCGTGACTACAATTTCATCCTAAAAAGTCGCTACAGCACATCATCATAGAAAATCATAACGAGATTAAGTCTTAACGTGAATCTCGGAATATATGATTTTGTCAACGACACTTAGTTGCCGTAATTTGGCGTTTTGTTTAAGTCACGGGTTAATCATCGATCTCGTTGACTTTTTAATTTTATAATCGCGCTCAATTTGTAACCGGGTTAAAAAGACGAATAAAGAACTTTCGCGCATCGTACAACCTAGTGTTTGATTTTGCCATAAGCACTCCACGACCGAGGTCCTTGCGAGGGAGCGAAGCCGGCTAAGTACATCACAGGTCAACGATGAGTTCGTCGTCTTAAAGGTGAATCTGTTAATCTTACAGATCACCTAACACTCCCGCGTTGCATAAAAATTCGAACAAGGTTTGAAGATTGTGCCCATTTCTTTCAATTATTATCCAATCATCTTTCAATTATTATTCTTTAATAATGTAATTAATCAAACTTTGTTAACCTGAATACGTCACCAACAACGTCTTATTATTAACTCTATCCTATCAATAAGAAATACATCAATATCAGATGATAGATCTTAATGTAAAGTCAGAACTCCTGTTATTATTTGAATAATTCTCTTCACCTGCATCTTCATATTTTCATCGCCCCCGAGCACCGAAAAGTGCCCCGATAGCAAATTCTCCTATCAACACCCTGATTATTTCCTATTAAAAGTCCCCTACTCTTTAACCTTCCTTTTGGTTTTGAAATTAAGAGCATGTAAAGGACACGATTTATATTGATGTAATTTCTCTCAGTACATCCCTCTTATTAATATCTTCCTAGTAATATCTCCTTATTAAAATAGATATTTCACTACTATGACGTATTTCACTACTATGACGTATTATAAATGAAAACCCGAGAACAGAAAATCGCACGTCGGAGGAAACGTAATCATAAAGCAGGTAAGAAAACTCATGCTAGCCGTGTCGCGTCGACCTTGCTCTGGCTCAGACGACAGTCATTGAATAATAAACTTCGCATTAAATTGTGCATCAGATAGTTGTCTTTTCTCCGGAGACTATAGAAAAGTTAAAAACTTCATCTACTCAACCAGATTTTAACAATAAACTCGTCGCAGACAAGAAAACTTCTCCTGATACGAAAATTGAATCCCCCCCTGACACGAAGATTGAACCCTCGATCGACGAACCACCTAATTCTTTTGATTTCAGAACTGATTTTTTCGAGTTATTACTAATCGCAGACAACTCCTCCTGATACGAAAATCGAATCCTCGATCAACGAATCTTCTAGTTTATTTGAATCCTCGATCAACAAACCTACTATTCATTTGAATCCTCTATCAACGAACCTTCTAATTCATTTAATTTAGGACTTGATTTCATCGAGCAATTACTAATTGCAGAATTAACTAAGGAATTTGTATCCTATGGTTGGGATCTCAGAAATTTCCCTTGTTCCTCTCTTAACTTTCCCTGTAAAGAAATAGGCGAGAAAAATATTGGTCCGAAAGTCGGCTGAATCGGGAATTCCCGACGTGATCTGATTGCGCGACTGACATGATTGCACAATTACGAGTATTAATTAACGTGCATCTTTGCATTTTTCGCGAGTGATCAGCGTTTCTGAGTGTTGGCGAGTCACGTGGTTCCCACGTGCCGTCACGTGATCGCATACCTGCGCGACCGCTGAGTGAGCTGACAGTCACGTGATACGATCGTGTTGTGCCGCGGAAAGCAATTTTCATGAGAGGACATCGATATAAACAGACATCCGTTGTAATTTGAATAGAATTACAGTTTTTTTGTGCGTGCCGCAGAACTTTTCGCGAACATTTTGTGACACAAGTTTATACCGGGTTATCTGAGTGTCACGACAGACAATTTTATATACGATGTCACTCCAACGTACGCCGCCGCGTGAGACCGCGTCCGTGAATAACAAGTCAGTAACGGATGCGCCAAGTGCAAGTACAACACGTGTGCCTTTTTTTCAAGACACCGAGGAAGCTAACGTTAATGTGACGAAGCTGATTAAGCTGCCGCCTTTCTGGCGTGAGAACCCGATGTTATGGTTTGCCCAGGTCGAGGCTGGATTTGCATTGTCACAAATAACGAGTGATGAGTCAAAATTCCGGTACGTTATCCTCCACCTTGATCTTAACTTCTTGCCATTTATTGCAGACATTGTCGCATCACCGCCTGCACGAAATAAATACGATGCAGTGAAGGCCCGAATTATTTCGTCTTTTGATGAATCTAGTGAGTCGAAACTCCGACGATTGCTGCAGGGATTAGACCTTGGTGAAGAGAGGCCGTCTTATTGTCTACAACGTCTTCGAAATTTAGCAGCAGGACAATGTTCCCATTCAGTTTTACGCACTCTATTTTTAGAGCGATTGCCTGATCCTGTCCGAGGAATCCTCGCCGCCAACGATACGGCTGATTTAGTCCAGCTCGCACTTCAAGCTGATGAAATCATGGATTACACAAGAGGTGCCCCGCGAATCAACGCCGTGAATTCTTTGTCAATACCGGATCATTCAACTGAAATTGCCGAATTGCATCGCCGTATTGAGGAGTTGACACGTCAAGTCCGAGAAAATCATATCCTGATCGCCGGACAAGACGCCGTTCATGCTCGCGTCCACGTTTTTGCAGCCGGAGCACACCTTGACAACAAAAGACAGCCGTATGCTACTACCATTCAAAATTTGGAAACAATGCGAAGAAATGTCGACAACCATGTGCCTGGCCTGGCACACCACCGCCGTCGGGAAACTGAATCAGCCAAACCGCATCGAGGCAAGCGGAGAGACTAACCAAGCTGAACGATGCCTCATCATTACAGACGCCACATCCGGAATGCGTTATTTGGTGGATTTGAGGGCCGATGTCTCCGTGTTGCCACGCAAAGCAGCCAGAGAGAACTCGATATCAAAAACATATCAACTTTTTGCGGCAAACGGATCAACTATCGCTACATACGGCGAAAAGCTAATTGCAGTCGATCTTGGCAGACGCCGTAAATATGAGTGGATCTTCATCGTTGCGAACGTGACGCAGGCAATTTTAGGTGCCGATTTCTTCACACATCATAATCTGATGATCGACCTTCGGTGACGACAACTTGTGGACGGAGGGACGAGGATGGGTTTCGTCGGACAGCTAGTTCGAGTCCCGTCTTCCGCTGTATCCACGATAAATCGCACAATTCCATACGCAGACTTACTTAAGGAATTCAATGAGGTTACCAGATCAGCCCATCGCATCGAGGTTAAACACGAGGTACGTCACTTCATTCAGACACGAGGACCGCCGGTTGCCGAACGGGCGAGACGTTTGCCGTCCGAAAAGTTAAAAGCTGCTCGTAAAGAATTCGCGCGTATGATGGCTGAAGGCATCTGCCGCCCGTCGAGCAGTCCTTGGGCCAGTCCGCTTCATCTAGTCAAGAAAAAGACAGGGGATTGGCGTCCCTGTGGAGACTACCGCCGTTTGAATGCTGTCACCATCCCAGACCACTACCCATTACCGCATCTCCACGATTTCTCGCATCGTCTTCAAAGATGTCGCATTTTCACGACACTAAATTTGTCGAGGGCGTATTATCAAATACCCATTGCACCGGTTGTTCGAAGACTGCTGTCATCATACCTTTCGGTCTGTATGAATTTAACGTTCATTACGGTTGGCCTGCGTAACGCCGCACAAAATTTTCAACGTCTGATGGACGCAGTACTGTGTGGACTCGATTTCGCACACTGCTATATAGATGACATTCTCATCGCATCGCCTGATCCAGAGCAGCACCATCAACATCTACGATTGGTGCTCGAGAGATTATGAGAGCACGGCTTATTGATCAATATATCAAAATGCTGTTTTGGAGCAGACCAAGTGGAGTAACTTGGATACCTGGTAGACGTACAGAGCACCAAGCCGCTACCTTCTCGAGTTCAAGCAATTCGTGATTTTTCAAAACCGAATAATATCATCGAACTACGACGTTTTCTGGGTATGCTTAATTTTTACAGACGTTTTATCAAGGGTGCCGCCGCAGTTCAGAGCCTACTCCACGCCTTACTCACAGGGGCAAAGAGACGAGACAAGCGCCCGATATCATGGACAGCCGCAACAGAAAAGGTTTTCGAAGCATGCAAAACACAGTTGACCGACGCAACATTGCTTGCGCATCCACTGGACAACGCACCGTTATTATTACGCACCGATGCATCTGCCACAGCAGTCGGCGCCGTTCTTGAACAGCGTTGCAATAACTCTTAGCAACCGCTTGAATTTTTCTCCAAAAAGATAAGCCTAGCAGAGATGAATTACAGTACATATGATTGTGAGTTTTTGGCTATTTACCGAGCTATCAAGCTTTTCCAACACTTCATGGAGGGTCGAGAATTGACAATAATGACGAATCATAGCCGCTCATTTATGTTTTTAATAAAAAATCGGATAAAACAACATTACGTCAAATGAGACATCTCGACTGGATTGGCCAATTCTCTACCAATATTGTGCACATTGCTGGAGATAGCAACGTTATCGCTGACACATTATCGAGAATTAATACCATAGACATGCCGACTATAGTTACGATGAACTGGCAACACACCAACTGAGCGACGACGAATTGAAGCGACTTCTACAGGATGGATCTTCGCAAGCTACATATCCCGAATACAGACTTCTACTTATACTGTGATGTATCTGGAGAGGACGTCAGACCTTACGTTCCGCAATAATTGCGTTGGACGATTTTTAACACAGTCCACGGATTTCTCATCCCAGCGGACGAGCAACGCGAAGAACCATCCAACGCGGTTGTGTATGGCTTACAAGGGACATGTCACAACTGTCCGGAACCGATTTGATTCTCCTTGAAATATGTTGTTAAATACACAAATCTAAAAGACACGTATTTTTTTATACGTGCGCAATTTGAGTTTTAAGGGGTGAAACACCCCTTTAAAGAATAACGGTATTTTTCTTTAGGATCAAATATCTGCTAAACTATAAGAGATATAAAGAAAAAACGTACAACAAATTTTAATGGCTTGAAGAGTACTTTAAAGTTATATGAACAAAAATTTTTTTTTTTTTTTTTTTTTTTAAAAAACCCTCACCACCTAATTTTTTTTTTCAAAATTAAAAATTTTGTTTTACCTAATTTAAAGCTTATTTTTTTCCAAATTCAACCATGTGTAATAAAGTTATGTTACGAAATATCATTTTCGAAAATTAATTATAAACGCTCCCGTATATACGCTCATCCGTGCTATGTGCGTAAGTAATTACCGTCGAACAATAAAATATATAAAAAATGTTTTTGTATAATTCTTATTTATGTTTTCTATGTATTTATAACTGTGTATTGTGTATATTTAGATTTTTTTAAAAATGTATTTGCATTTTATATTATTCACTCATTATACACATTACAATAATGATATTCGACAAAAAAATGTTTCAAACATAATGACTTCTTGCACCAAGAACATCTTACTACAGCTATATTATTGCAACCTTCGATATCACATTTTGTTAAAGTTTCGTCTAAACTAAAGTGTACTGGATTTTCGAATTCGTCTGGTCTTTCATTCGTATAACCACTTTTAAACCACGAATATTTAAATAAGTTTTGATATCGTGGGGATGACAATTGATTATGTATCAAAGATTGCAATTTTATTATATTATTTCGTTCATGTAAGTTTATATTACTTTCCAACAGTAAAACCGCATCTGAAAATCTTTTAGCAAAATTTTTCCAAATTCTGAATCCATAAACATCTAATGGTTGTATTTTCCCTGTAGTTCCTTTCGGTATTATCATAGTAGTAATATGTGTTCCAGGAGGTGTTAAATCCGAAATCATATTGGGGCAATGTCCAGTCCATGAATCGATAAGAAGAACGCTATTAGGACCAATGTTTGCGAAATAAGCTTCTTCTAACCACATTTTAAAATGATCTGTACAAAATATAAATGTTAATTTAATAGTTTTTTTATGACTCTTATTAAATTGTTAAATAAAATAAGGTTGTTAAAAAAAGTAATTATAAAAGGAAAATACCTGATGTCATTTTACCAGATTTCGATGCTTTTACAATAACATTTTCTGCTTTAAATAAATTTTCTTGTACTCTTGGTCCAAATTTACCATTAGCTTCTTTTAATACAATAAATAAAGGGGACAACAAATTGCCATTACAGGATATTATTGGTTGTATCGTATATGAATGGGTTGTTGATGATATGGATTGCACGACACGTTCTACTTTCTTTTCTCCCTGGTTAGACAATGATCTTCCAGAGTGAAGTTCCAATTGGAAACCACTTTGATCTGAATTGTAAATATTTTCAGATCCAAACTGTTCAATAAGAGGTTTTACTGTTTCCAGAAAATCATCAGCTGATTTTTGCAAATCAGCAGAATCTTCTAATGTTCTTCTAGTGACAAACTTCGTAACTTTTCTTGAAACAATTCGGTGAGACTTCTTAAATCTTGCTATCCAACTGTGAGATGCTTTAAATATAGGATTTAAATTTCCTATTTCTTCTTGAGCTTGTAAAGCCCATCTTTTTAAATCAATATCATGAACCATGAATCCTGATTCGACAGCTGCAGTAAATTTATCATGTGTAAATTTGGAGATGTAAGATAATTTTTCTGTACGACTTCCACCTGATTGTATTTGTTCTTCCCATCGCCTTAACTGACGTTCAGATGAAACTCTTCTAAATTTATTTTGTACTACTCTTAGAGGACGATTCCTTTTTCTGTCATTACTGTTTTCATCAGTGTCCCGAAATCGCCAATACTCAACAGCTCGTCTTTTATAAGAACTATCAAAATTTGTATCATCATTTGAACAATGAGGATGAGAATTTAAACTATCTTCATGCCATGCTTCTTCGTCATCTTCAATTATTTCAAAACTATGTAATTTATAAGGTTCTTCATAATCGAGATATATTTCTTCCGTTACTTCCACCCCATTATAATGAAAAACGCTATCCAGTAATATTTTTTTAATGTTTTCCTTTAATTCCACTTCTGCTTCAGTTACTGGCGTTTCTGTTAAATATATTGAATTTATTGACACCAATAAAAGTCTAACAACGTTAAGCGGATTGATAATCATATTCAAAGATGTTATATTTTGCTTTCTATTGCAATAAAAGAACAGTTTACACAGATATTATTACAACGAAAAGACTACACCGACTGTGAGAATTATGCTGCTACATGAACAATTTATATTAACTTATCAGAAATACGTCATCACATAATCTTATTTTATTATTTATTTTAACGTATTAAAGATTTTATTGTAAAAATTATAACTTATCTGGAACACGTACACATAATCTTATCTTATGATTCATTTAACGTAAGATATAAAATTTGTTTATGCCAAATATTGCGACATTGGTATTCGCAAGATTCAATTAAAAAATAATTTTATTATAAAATATAATTGTTTTTAATTTTTATAGAAGAAATTAAATATTAAAGAAATAATAAGAAAGCAGGGGGTATATTTAAAAAATTCTTATTAATTATATTTAAAAATTTTTTTTTAAATCTAAATATACACAATACGCAGTTATAAATACATAGAAAACATAAATAAGAATTATACAAAAACATTTTTTATATATTTTATTGTTCGACGGTAATTACTTACGCACATAGCACGGATGAGCGTATATACGGGAGCGTTTATAATTAATTTTCGAAAATGATATTTCGTAACATAACTTTATTACACATGGTTGAATTTGGAAAAAAATAAGCTTTAAATTAGGTAAAACAAAATTTTTAATTTTGAAAAAAAAAATTAGGTGGTGAGGGTTTTTTAAAAAAAAAAAAAAAAAAAAAAATTTTTGTTCATATAACTTTAAAGTACTCTTCAAGCCATTAAAATTTGTTGTACGTTTTTTCTTTATATCTCTTATAGTTTAGCAGATATTTGATCCTAAAGAAAAATACCGTTATTCTTTAAAGGGGTGTTTCACCCCTTAAAACTCAAATTGCGCACGTATAAAAAAATACGTGTCTTTTAGATTTGTGTATTTAACAACATATTTCAAGGAGAATCAAATCG